AAGATTTACCCCTATGCAAAGGATAATGTCTCCTATAAGCATATATTTAGAACAAAATACTGCTCCTCATATCCTTGTCCAAGATGTATTCATGAGGATATACTATAAAGAATGAAAACATGTCAATTTATAATTTATGTAAACGGCAGACACCATGGGTTCTTGATGTGATTCCATGATAATGAGTCCCTCATCTGGAATACATCACCCAGACTTCTCTGTCATAGACTACATTAGTGGGAAATGTTCTGTTTCTTTTCTGTTCTGTTCTGCAGCCCTTATGAGCTAGGCATCTATAAAAAAAAAAAGAAAAACTTGCTTACATTACCTGTTGTTTGCTTTGTTATGATTTGTTCACCAAGTGGTCCTCTCACAGACTCCGGTAAAGACTGAAAATTACACTTGTGAAGAGCATAAAAAAGAATAAATTGGTTAATTGGTTTGTGGGAGATTTATTATTATTTCTTTAACATTCTTCCATAATCAGTGTTAAATAAAAGCCCCTCTTGCTAAACTTGGGTGAATCCATATGTATAGCCTCACCACTTCTGTTAAAATAAAAAAATGTTGCATTTGCTATCCGCCGAGGGATCTGGCATTAGGGAGAATGTCCTATCTACAGAAAAGAAAATTGTCACCCACTCAGTGTGTGATGCAACCTTATAACATGCTTGTCATTTCTGATTTTTTTTTATCCCATAGACTGCTCTCTGAATGTTTACCTCTGTTAAAGAGGTAAATATTCATGTTTTTAGTAGAGCTTGTGTGCATCTCTGCCAGTGTGCAGGATATCTTGAATGGCTATGGACAGCTAATGATCCAGATCATGTGCAAGTATTAGCTATTGATGTAAGTCAAAATATAGTATGAAATGTGCCGCTTGGTTGAGGTCTTTGCATTCATTGATGGACAATGAATGCAAAGCATACAGCTCTGTCTTTGGAGTGGATTTAGAGTGTAAATGAACTGATATCTCATTTTTTTAATATTAGAAGGGTCCATGCTAGAAGTGCACATTTGTCAAAAATCTTTTTTAAACCATGCTTTAAAAAATGCTTAAAACATAACCGAGTAATCTCCCTTTATACATCATAGCTCTCACTCAGAGTTTGCACACAAAGTCGAACCTCATGTTTGGACCTCTACACACCCACATTTAACTATATACTGCCTGTGTTTAAAGTAGCCAGCTGATCAGTGTTATTAATGGTTACCAATAGCAACTGCAACATAGAGTAAAAAAGGGCAGTTAACCACAGACGGAAATTGATATTTTGGTCAATGAGGTTAAGACTTGGATTAATAGGTTGTTAGCCACAGCAAACAAGTGACAAATAAAAGGAAATATTATGAATGACACCATCAGAGTCCGACCAATCTCATTAACAAGGTCATCCTGGCAGAACTGCACTTAATGCTATCTGTGATGTCTCAGATTTATAGATTATTTAATAGAATCTTTTTAATCTTAAAACTGACCTTAGGCAAAGAGTTAATAGATTGTTAAACACAAATTGCAGAATATGTTTTTATATGTCGCTGTTCCCACTGCCACTAAAAGCTAAAGGTGTTCCCGGGTTAAAACGGGTTTTTCGGCCAGTGGGAAAGGGGCATCAGAAGACTTTTGATGCAATCTGTCTTCACTTTCCATCATCAGCATCTGTGTGGCCGATTTCCTGTTTCCAAATTTTACATACCCCTTACGGATGGATCAGATTTTCCATGCGGGACCAGAGGTGGATAATCCAGGTCCAGAAAGTCAAAAGCCTGTACAGAGATCAGTTCTAACCAGTTGTACTTCTATCTCAACAATGCAGACTATTGTCACTTAACCAGTGGCTAATCACCTGGTTAAATGAACAAGATAAAGAAAAACAAGGCAGGGTTAATACTTCCTGACCTAAATTATCCATCTATGTAAGGTAATCCCACATTTTCACCCCAATTTTTTTTCTTTCTTTTTTTGTATATATGTCACAAATTTTGTTTGAAAGTCAGCGAACCCACGACTCGGGTCTTGTTTTATATGTACACAAGCCCTATTAATAAGACACCTGATCTTTACCAAATTCTTAAATGATCTGTTTCTAACTTGAATGCACAATACCACACCAAAGATTTAAGGAGAAAGTCATAGTTGCACTTTGTTACAAATAGGCAATACCAATAAACCTCTTTGAAATATGTATAAGATAAACAAAAACCTGCAATTTCAAAGAGCTTTGTTTTTATTTGTGTGTGTGTTTTATTTATTTATTTATCTTTATTTCATTTGCTGTTTTTTTTACACCTGTTAGAAGAATAGAATATAAAATCCCTTTATTGTCCCACAATGGAGAAATTGTGGTGTTACAGCAGTAAAAGGTTATAGCAGAAGTGGTCACACAATGTTGAACTTAGAAAAGTGTATAAAGAAATAAAAAATAAGAAACTAAACAAAAAAGTGCAGTACTGTACAGTGTTTTTATTTTTGCACATCTCCAGCAACACTGGAGATGTGCAAAAATATGACAGCATGTTATTTAACTGACTAAGACGGGAGCTGCAAAAATCAACATGAATGTAACAACTTATTGAGGTTGTAGGGAAAAGTGGTCTTTATAAAGTCTTACAGCTGCTGGGAGAAAGGATCTGTTATAACGTTCCCTGGGGCATTAAGGGTGCAGCAGTCTTTCATTGAAGGAGCTCTCCAGTTCTGCAACAGCTTCATGCATGGATTGGGAGACATCTATCTGAGATGTTATTTTAGTTAGGTTCCTTTTGTTTCCCACCTCCTGCACTGAGTCCAGAGGGAACTGGCCTTCCTGATCAGCTTATCCAGCTACAGCTACTCTCAGCTAAGCCACTGCTCTAACAGACAGCTCCATAGAAGATGGCTGATGCCACAAGAGAGTCATAAAAGGTATTTGGGAGCGCACAATGCATTCCAGAAGACCTCAGTCTCCTGAGTAGGAAGAGTCTGCTCTGATCCTTCTTGTAGAGAGCCTCAGTGTTGTGAGTCTAGTCTAGTTTATTTTTCAGGTGAACACCTATGTACTTACACAATCTCAATGTCCGTTCCCTGGATGTTCACTGGTGTGTTAGTGGGGTGGATCTGCTTCTGCGAAAGTCCACTAATAGCTAATCAGGAGGTGGTTCTGCTGGCACCAGTCCACAAAGCTACACTGGACAACCGAAGAAATGTAAATATATCAATATTCAAATAATTCAAAAGAAACAGCACGTCCAAAGTGGAAAACAGTAAAAAGACAAGAGAGAAAGATAAGGAAAATATTTTTTTTTTTATAAACTGAAAGCCCCTTTTCCTTCTCTCATCAGTGTAAGCAAGTGTGCGTTTTGTCAAGCACAGCCGTTAGCCATGTCATATTATTCATAATTAGCCCACGTTGGGTCGTTAATCTGATTGGAGGGAGTGGCAGATACTGGGGGATAATCATACATATAAATATATAAAACAAACACACATTCACTGTTCTTTAGACAGCTCTCTGGAGTTTCACTGTTTACCTGAATGGATATGCATATCTATTCCATTGCCCTCGTCCTGTTAATAAGATTAATCTACTTAATGGTTTAGTGTTGAAGACAGGGGGAAAGAGAGGGGATTTCCATATGAACATATGATATTCATTATTTTGATATGCTGTTAATGATTTGATTAGTATTTTTTAAACTGAGTTGAACATAAGATAATGTAAATGTAACTCTTGATAGGCACATTATATATTTTCTCCTGTTATGGATTATTCTATATCCATACAAACTACAACCCACACAAATAGCTCTATATGTTCAAAAATGAATGTATTCCTTCTTAGAAGTAATAATTTCATAGAAAACCAGCATATTTGGAATCCAACATGACCATGAGGTGGAGCAGGTTACTTATTTTTAAAATCCTGGTCTAATTCTTCATAATATACTCTGTTTTTAAGTCAATGCTGATTAAAATAAAAAAAATTCAAGACAGTCAGCAACTCTGGGAGGCTTTAATGCCAGTAAACAGACATTAACTACAGATCATCAGGTATTTTTACAAGGAATGTTTTCTCTTACTAAATGAAGCCAATAAAATGAATAGCTTGCTAAACATTTTAACTTAAGATATTACAAGTTCAACCCATGCACAAGAAAACTACTAAGGTCCATAAGACCCTTTTTCATAAAACAGTGATCAATATTTCAGTTTAAGTCATCTGGCAGAAGATTTCCCCCCCCATTTTATCCCCCAGCAACTTTGTTATATTATGAACTCTGCATTAAACATATACACCCATAATAATCAAATAAACATTTACACTGCCCCTGCATGGAAGCACAGGGCAGCAGAATATGTTTGGGTATCCAGCAAAAATCTGTTTTTTTCTGGATGCTGGAGCCAGTTGGGATTCAAATCTACCGAAATTACTCTGCACAACAGGCATGGGAGAATATTGGAGCACCTCTTGGCTTTGCAGCGGAGCGGATCAGAGCATTTCCATCGTAAATTAAAAACAATGGAGACAAAGTACAGAACTAAGCAGATCCACACCCCACAAACCAGGGTTAAAATCTAATGTAAAAAGTATTTACCTCAGTCAGCTGTAATTTTTAACAATATATGCTTTATTGCGATGAGACATATAAACATGCACACAATCATTCACACCTAAGGTCGATGTAATTATGCCAGATAAGCTAACAGTTTTGTTTTTGGAATGTGGGAGGAAGCTGGAGCACCTGAAGAGAAGCTATGTATATAGAGAACATGCAGGAATCAAACCCAAAACCTTTCTGCTGCAAGGCAACAGTGGTCCATGCCCTTTCCTCATTGTAGGATTTATTTATATGATCTTGTTTAGATACCACTTGCTTAAATAACCCTAATGATAGATGCTTTGTGGACAATAAAATGTTTTTTACCCTATTCTCTGACTCTTATTCATTTTTGCTAGTTATTTTAAATGTTTTTGACAAAAATCTTCATTGATTTTAACTGAATCTATGTCTTTAAATCTCAGATCCGTAGACAGGGGGGAATCCAACTGTTGGTTGATCTGCTGGATCACAGGATGAGTGAAGTACACCGGAGCGCCTGTGGAGCATTGAGGAATCTGGTGTACGGCAAAGCCAATGACGAGAATAAAGTAACCCTCAAGAACTGTGGAGGGATTCCTGCTTTAGTCCGTCTGCTTAGGAAGACTGGGGATGTGGAAATCAGAGAGCTTGTTACAGGTACAGTTTTTGCAATTAACCTTGTTTTTCACATGACAGTGCCCGTAGAAGAGGATTGCATGTGTATTTGTGTGAGCAAATTTGTAATAGTTTTCTGTGATCATACCAACAATATAATACCCTAGCACCTTCATGTGAATGTATGACTATACATTGAAGCGGTGGCATTGATTTGCTTTATATATATTAAGGAACTGAAATTAGTTTGAAAATAGTTTAATTTTAGACTGCAGTTCCATTGCTTGAATATTACTTTCTTTATATATCCCAGGCAGAAACTACTATGTTTTTAAAACAGATTTTTTTCCATCATTGTTTCAACTCACTTTTTACAGAATTAACATACTTTTGGAAAATGTACTTTTTACTTAAAAGAAACTAGCACTCTAGAACTTTATCATTTAAGATTCCAAACAGTTTAACAATGAAACTGAAATGTATTTTGTCAACTATTTGCATATTCAAGCAGAGAATGATGCAATTCCATTATTAATATCAATGAACATAGCTCCTCCATTAAGGTGTAGTACATATTCTTCCTTTTCATTCACTTAGTTATTCACTGTAGGTATTTTTCTAGTACAAGGATTTTTTTTCTTTTTTTTTTTACTCTCAGACATTTTTTTAAAGTTTGTTGTTAGTTTCGGAGATTTTACTTTTGTTACTCAATCTGACATTTCCTGGCCAATCATGTTTTAACCTTGAGGGAAAGAATACGCACCCACACAGATAAAGTTTAAAGCCCAAACACACAACACATAAACTAATTTCAATTCTCCAAGGAATATGTGCAAGCAAACAGTGTGTTGAATACACCCACACAAATATTGCATGACCTCAAATAATTTAAGCTGTATATTTTCAGATTTATTCACCATTTGGTTTTTCTTTATTGCTTTTCATCAACTTTCGATCAAAAAAGCAACAAAAAAAAGACGTTTCTACAAATTCTAGTAAATCTTTTTTTCTTTCTTCATAATGTTAAAAAAGAGTAAAAAAAAAAACAATCCACTGGACTTTGTTTCTAAGTTTGAAGATGTTTCACTTCCCATCCAGGAAGCTTTTTAAATTCAAAATGTCAGAAATAGCTGATATAGCTTTAAGACTTTATAGAGTGGACCCAAGCAAAGACTTTATGCTTAGAAACATGACTTTATAATGCACACACAAGCAGATGCTTGCAAATACTAAGTCCCCTGGGTGCACTTCTCAGTTCAGTTTTATTTATACTTTTTGTGATATGATTGATTAAATCTTTTTAAACCTAATAATTTATAGTCCTGTGGCATGGCAATAAATTTTCCTACACGTTTAGTTGGACAAAATTATGAGGTTTCAGATTAAGATCACATTCAATTGAATGAGTGTTATACTACAGTATGTGTGAATCACCTCCTGCTAGCAAATCTTCCATCAAGACACTTCTGCCTAAATCCTCTCTTGTTTTACTGTTTATCGTGTTATTTGCTATTTAGAAATGTTTTATATTGTTTCTTTCCACATTAAATCTATTATACTGAGCTGTGTTTCTGCACTTGTTTAATCATTATCTCACTCTTTGACGTCTTTGTCACTTGACACCAGGATAGACCTCATAGACTAGGACATTTCCAAAGATAAGAAGCACAGTTTACACTCAGAAAACGACAACTATTTCCATAATTCCACACAGGCTGTTCACACATTCACATGTAATACAGAGAAAAAAAAAAAAGGGAAAAAAAAAGCCCCTCATCTTCAATTTGACATTTGACCCCATTGCTTCCTCTGTGGGATAAAGCTCAGAATATAATATACACACATGCACACTCAAACATCCCTAGATGGATCAACTAGGACTCTTTCTGTAAGGGGAGAGAGGATTGTCACTTTTGAAGTAATGCAGTTGGAATTTCAGATATAGATGAAGTGAAAGTATTAAAGCAAACTTCAAAATTATTCCAAGGGAAAAAACACACAAGAAGTAAATTGTTACTGTTTTAAACTACTTTATTTTTTCAGTTAGTAATTGCTGGATCAGATGGCATGTTCATGTAGCAGAACAAAAATAAAAAAGTTGAGTTGATATAATCTGTAGATAGTAGGGATGAAAGAGCTGAAAAAAAATCAAAAAATAATTTAAATAGTCTTTTTCCAATCAGTGTGTGAATTTTTTTCTTCCTTTTTTGTTGTTGTTTTGTTTTTGCTAATTCCACTGGAGAAATAAAGTACAAAATACTGCTGTCTACATATAAGATTACATATAATCTTATACATATAAGATTTTCACATTTTTTGATAATACAAACAATAACTTTAAGTATTCTATTGCATTTTTGTGTCACAAACCAAATAAGGGACTCTATATTAATGTATTAAAATATATTAAGCATTTAAGTTCAATTCAACTAAGTCAATAATTTGTAGGGGAAACTTTGGCTCTGAATATGCTTGCAAGTCTTCAGGGGTATGTTTTACCAGATTTGCATTTCTGGAACTAAGAATTTTGCCTATCTATCTCATCAAGATATCTCATGATCCATCATATTAGATGAGATTTTTTTTTTTTTTTTTACATATTCTTATTGATCAGTCTAATGTCTGCCTTTTTTGTTTATTGGTCTTTACAGCTTGTAGTAAGATAGTTTAATTCCATCACCCTGAAGACTTAAGTGTCTGCAGCTGAAGTATGTTTGTATTTTAGTCTAAAAGCAGGTTCCAATCACTGCAGGCCACACTGGATAATATGCTGTGCAGACATATTTTATAAATAGCCATCATCCTTTCACACAAAGAGACACACACTATGAAATTTGATCTTCACCTCTTTTTGGCTCTTCCTGTCCTTGCCCTCCTCTCTCTGCTTTACCTCTGCTGCAGGCAGTGTGATTCTTTGTCACGCATGTTTTGTTGTCTGTTTATTCTAATACTTAGCATTCAACTTCACATTTTGCATGCCTTCTTGCCAGCATTGCCATATTTCAAAGACTGTATTCATTTAACACCTCTTCTATTCACCTCTCAAAACCATTGCTGTGATTCAATTTTATTTGTGTTTCAATTTGTTTCAAATGATGGGAGCAAAATTATAATTGTATAATTGCTGCTTAAAGCAGCATTGACTATAGAGAAAAAAAATCTTCTCATTCAGTGCTATTTGAGTTAAAATATTCCCAATTTGCTACAGAGATGCTCCGCAGTACTTGAATTATATAGACTACTACAGTCTCAGGCTCAGATTATAAAATGTAAATAGGCATGAGGGGAACAATCTCACGGAGAGCTGAAACTAAATTATTATAATGGTTGTTGTTGTTGGATCTCTAGTAAAGAGACAAACAATGTCAGACAAGAAGATTTTTAAGATGGCAAATATAAAAAATAAGCTCAGTTGACTAACAAATATGCATGCACATGATGTATCCCAATTAAATGGATAAGTTCATAATATCAATACAGTTCATGATATCTACTATCTACTGCTTTTTTCCCCCTTTTACTTGTGCTCATTGATTGACATTTAATACTAGTGATCAGCTAAATGACGGCAAATTATTGAAGTGACCTGGAGACACGGTCCTTATGTAATGGTTTCATATATGTGATTGTTTTTTTAGACTAAAAGCATCCTTATTATTACTTGAGTTCTGTTTTTACATGTTTTTGTTTTTTTCCCATTCTTTGTGATTAAGTATCTGTATAAATCTGAGAAAAAAGACAAGGGCATAGTTTTCAGCAACTAAGCAATCTCTAACAGTTACCATATTTTCCGTGTTGATGCTTGACTTTAAATTTAGAAAAGCTTTATTGGCTTCCTGGGTCTCAGTGTGAGATAGATAGCATGGGGCCAAGGCTTCCGGCCCTGTCAGTCAAACTCTGGTCGATGCAAAGGCTTTCTATGTCAATAGGAGATGCTATCCCGCCTCTTCATCTCACCTTAAAGCAGCCGACCATGGCTGCATTTGCTACCACTATAGGCTATATTGTTGTTGAAAAGCAACCCCCTCTACCATCCACACATCTACCCTTTTTGAAGGAACAGTATTTGTATTTATTTTTTTCCAATTTAAAGGTACACTGATCTATATTGTTAAGACAAAGCAGTAAAATGTTTTATAGATATGTCCTACTCAAAGATATACAGTATGCACTTTCAACTCCTATAGGCTAGTCCATTTTGCTTATTTTTGTATGTTTTCTAAAAGTCACAAGGTGTCTGAAAATAGATAAGTGACTAAATTGTTAGATGTTGCTGCACACTTGCATTGGCTTGCATATGAATTTAAGTGGCATTCCATTCCTAATTCATAGGAATAAGGTTTGTCCACCCTATGCATACCCATTCTTCTAGATTTTGCATTTGTTAAGTCTCAGACTTAGTTGGAGAGAAGGCCTGGCTCTCAGTCTCCACTCTAATTCCTAACAAATGTATTCTATTGGGTTAAGGTTAGGATTCTGCACAGGCCAGGCAAATTGACCAACACCGAAGCGTCATTCATGCCTTTATGAACCTCACCTAGTGCAGTGATGCACAGTCATGTTTGAAGGTGAATGGGCTGTTTTGAAATTGTTTCCACAAATTTAGAAATACAAAATTGTCTCATGTCACTTTATCTATATTTATATTCCTTTAAACCAAGGGCCAAGCAACTCCTTAAAAAAAAAAAAACACATACTCCACCAAACTTTACGCTTGGTACTTTACAGTCAGACCAGTAATCTCAGTATTCTCCTGGCAACCATCAAACCCAGAGTAGCACATCTCATCGCCAGATGGAGAAGCTCAATTTGTCTCTTTAGAGAATTAGTGATGTAAGGCTTGGATGCAGCTGCTTGGCCATGGAAAACCATTTCATCAAGCTCTCTATGCACTGTGCTTGAGTATTTGACCTGGTAGCAATCAAATTCGTTAAACCTAAGCTGATGACAAAAAAAAAAATTTATTAATCTTTTTACTTTTATTTTAAAACTATCCAACTTGGTTTAAAAATTACGTGATCCTTAGGTAGAGTTATGCTGTTGTTGACAAGTACAACAATGTTAATGATTATTTTCTGTTTTCCTATTCAAAGAGATTTATACTTACATTTGTTGTGTAATTTGTCATCTGGTGTTACACATCACCAGGTCCTGACCTGACAGCTAATTCTTACTGAGCTGAAAAGATGAAAACTGTTTAATAAAACATAGCCACTAGAGGACCTACAGGTCTCACTACCCCCGTACAAGTTGCACTCTCATTTATTCATGAATTCATGCAATCATTGCTCCTTTCCCCCCAAACCACCCAGTTCCTAGGAAACTGTCTGTTAAGCTGTAAAGACCCAGAGACAATGCAAAAAAACTCAGACAAAAGGACTTTCTTATGATGTCATTGGATTGTATTCACAAGATTTTGTTCTCTGAAGGATACACAGTTTAGCAGAGCATCAAATATTTATGTTTTAGGAGCATGAATATGTGCATTAGAGTTAGCCGGCTTATGTCAGTGTAGTATTTGTCAAATTTTAGCACATGGCAGACATGTTGGCCTTGTCCCAGAAAGAAACTCTTTTTCTCCTACAAAATACACTTGTTTATTTTTGTTAAGGGAGATGGCTTGGTAATTACAGTCATAACCTCCTTCCCTTGCATTTGCGAAATGTTTTTTGGCCTGGCACACCAACAATTCTGCATATTTCGACAGGTTTCAAAAGGCAGCTTAAGCCAGGGAACAGGTTCTTGCTCTTGCATGCCAAAGGAAATACTGTTTTTTGTGGTTTTAATCATGCCATAATCAGTTGTTGACAAAGAGCTGTATACAGGAAAAACCAAAGAAACAAATGGACATAGAGACAAAATAGTTTAGGGTATAAGTGTCTCATTTTATGTGCATTTTTGTGTTTTTCTCATTTGCACTATGTTGTTGGCAGACTAAGGAAGAGACAAGCAATGAAACAGCTGAATAGAAGCTGAAAAGACAAATGTTGCAGCAGTCATCTCAAAGATAAACCCTCTGCACAAGCACTTGATTGTCGTCTAACAACTGACAAGGTCACTGTGTTATCACCCAGCCCTTCTTGTCCTCCCATTGTTTCACACATAGATACATGTTGCCACTTTCTTTTAGGATTCACGCTTTCCTTAGGCTTTTCTCTAATTTTTTTTTACTTTTTTTTTTGTCTTTGCTTTTAATGTTCTATTTGTAAAACATGATATAACATATTCTAATCTGTTTAATGTCTAGATTCCTCTTATAAATGACTCCTTTGCTTTCTTATGGAAAGAGGCAAATGGTGGAGAGGTTGGTATGTGGAGGGTAGAAAGGCAGGAAAATGAATGGCTGGAGTTAATGTTTCCTTGAAGGAAGACCTGGGGAGCAGGTAGACTCACATTGGTGACAATGGTAAAGTTTCTCCAGCAGTTGGTGATAGGAGGAAACACCACAACAATAGAGCATTGGATGCTCTACAAATAAGAGTTAACAATGTCCGGCTTCCAGTATTTAAGAAAGGGAACGAGTATTGATTAACATATTTCTCAACCTCAAAATGTCATTGAGAGAGCTTACAGCTGTGTTGCCTGATGCATTTTATGGTAGGTAATGAATGAGTATGGGGTACCCAGGAGGTTCTCAAGGACCATATAATCTTTTTATTCCTAAGCAGGAATAATCTATCTCTATAGTCTATTCTCCGCACAAAACTGAGGTAATGCTCGTTGCAGTTAGAATTTCACGAATGCTCCTTGTTCTTTATCCTCTTTATGATTCATAAGAAAATTATCTCATTATTGACTTCTTGAGAACAAAATACATGGTTTGGGAGACTCAAGGTCTCACATTTTCCTAATGTGGAACCTCTTGTTCTGTTGGAAACTTAAATTAATGACCATTAGCAGGCGCTGAAACAGTTTTAAGTGTGATATTAAGTGAAACAAATGAAAGACTTTTAACTTCCCTTAGGTCAGCCAAAATAAGGTGATCTGCTCCATATGGGTTGGGGGATTTGTCTATTGTCAATTGTTTTGAATAAAAGAGCTTTACCAAAAACAAAACTTTAATTCAAGTCTCTCTTTACCCAAAATGAAGATAAAAACAATCTGGCAAAATAACAAAAGGAAAGACCCTGAACACGAGCAGCTGAAATGAGCTTCCATAGAATGTTAGCTAACAGCTTTGATGGCTTTTAGCTATCATTCTTAGTCTTAAGTGAGTTTTACCAAGCCTTTACTGTACTGTTGCAATTTTTTATGTCCAATGGGAAAGTACTTGACTTAAGATGGTTGGTCTGGGGATGATCGAACAGGGTTAAGTTGGGATCCATACAGGACAAGGGAAAGTGTCTGTAAATTTATTATGACTTCATAACCTAAGTACCTAAATGAGAACACTATGCTGACTAACAGGTAAAAAAAAAATTCTCACCCGAAAAACACGAGAGATCAATGTTTGCTATGCTCGCTATTCTAGCTCACAGTGGCCATATAAGTTAGTGGTAAACTGGAACAGCATCATTATGTCACTCTAACTTCCTAGTTCGAAGTTTTGAGGTATATCCATTGCATTTTTATATGAACATGGGGAATAATAATTAAATATGTGCTTATTTGAGTCCAAATATTGCAGAACTAGAATATTTATTTCATATTTTATATTTTTTCAGATGATTTGAAATAGTTACATTAGTAAATCTGTGTTTTCCTTATTGATTTTAAGCTTAAAACAGCTCCCATTATTAATATATACATTAGCTATTATTACAAGAAAACAAGGTCTATATAAATAGGAGAAATAGGAGCCAACCTGACTTTAGCCTGAAGTTAAATGGGCCTTAACTTTGAAAGCATGGGGAGCCTTAAGGTGCTGCTTAAGAGTTGTCATATTTCCCTCCTCATTTATGTCCACATACATTTTAGTGTGTCTCTAGAACACATTTGATTTCCTTTTTGAAGGATCATATTTAAAGTATATCCATAAGTCCAACAGATCACTTACATGTACTTATTCAGCATAAATTTCATTTTTCTTTGTTGTCTACCGAACCACTCATTAACATTTCCTGCCTAGTCTCGCTCGGACAACAAAAACACGTGTAATTCATCAAAGAGCCATATTTGTTTTAGTCGCCGTCTCCTTATCGTGTTGAGAAAAGCCTTTGTCATCTACATGTTTGAAATCTGGAGTCCAAAAGCAAACTAACATTTTTCCGCTTTTCATATGTACTGCTTTGGTCATTTAAGAAAATGTGTTTTGTTTCTTTCTCTCTATTGTTCAAAGTTTTCTTACAGATTGAAAGTATCTCATCCAGTTCTCTTCTATTTTTTGTCATTATTTGATCTATGTTGTGTCCTTGCTTTCTCTGTTTTTCTCTGTTGCTCTGTTTTCCTTTATGTTTTATTTTTCTCTGTTGTTTACTTCCTGTTTGTAAATGATTGGTTCAGGCACTTGGACTTGTTTATTTGAAATTATGAGAAAATGAAGAGCACATCTGGTTGTGGTTTTCCTGTGTATGAGTGTGCTTCAGCTGACCGATGAGGCTAGAGCTATCACTTGTCTTAGAATAGCATCTGGTATGCCATCTGATGAGTAGATGAGAAAATGTGCTTTAGTATTTACAGAGTGTGTGTTTATGATATTTGTGATTAGGTAATACAGTATAATGCATATGAAATAAGTTTATTTGTATTCATATGCTGGGTGCCTCTGCATTGCTTTAGATTTTGTGGGGTATGTTTATTTTGATATTCTGTATTTCTGTGAGTGTAGTAATCAATGCCTTAGCTATATAACTCAATATTCAGACCAGCAGACTCAAGAATAAAAATTGAATCAAAAAAGAGGCGCAATCTCCTCATATAGCTCCAGTTCTAAAGTATTCCATAGGTCAGAGACTGTAGGGTTTTCCATCAGATGTGCTATATTTCTGCTGGGTTATGCTGATAAAGTATTTTTTATCTAAACACACTTATTTTAAAGATGTTTATAAACATTTACAGATGTAATCAAATGTCTATTTAGAGCTACTGCAGCCAGTTGTTTATTATGCAGAGGTATCCAGCTAATTAACAACTGAGCCAATATTTTATTCAAAGCTGTGATAGAATATAAAACAATTATCTTGAAAAGGAAAATAAGAAATAGATTATGTTAAAAGTGCATAAAAAAGTAAGATTTGCAGAATGATAAAGGTATTTAATAAAGCCTGTTGTACTCTCAATGACTTTATATCCAGGTGTTCTTTGGAACCTGTCATCATGTGATGCCCTGAAGATGCCAATTATCCAAGATGCACTTGCTGTTCTGACCAATAGCGTCATCATACCGCACTCCACCTGGGATTCTTCTCCTGGTCATCTTGATGATCGAAAGCTCCACCTTCATACTTCCCAAGTGCTGCGCAATGCTACTGGCTGTCTCAGGTAAAAGATGCAGTCTTTACCACTGCTCTAAAATCATGTTTCTAGTTTGCGTACAGCCAAAAAGAACTTTTAATGCATTAAATAAAGAGTGGTGGATGAGTAAATGTTTTTTCTCACAAAGTTACAAATTTTTGATAAATGTATATGGAAGCAACACAATAAAACTGCATGATATTATGGCTTATGTAACAGATAATGAACTTTGTACCCTAATAAGATTTAAAAGCTCCATTTAGTAAACCTTTGAAGAACAAAGTCAAATTTCCTTATTTATTTTTTTTTATTCGTTTTTTTTTTTTTTTTTTTTTTTTTTTCAATACAGTTATTACTTAAATATTATGTTGCTGAATTTTGATTTTTTATTTGTTGTTGTTGTGGAAACACTCACAGTTTAGTTCTCTAAATCAGTGTTTCTCAACCTTTTTTGACTTGTGTACCCCTTTGGGTATTTTTTCTTACCTCGAGTCCCCCCTCTCATTCAAGTATTAAAGATTGTCCAAAAGTGAAACGTACAATAAGTTATTATAAAATAAAAACAATTTTTCTTAATCTTTTAATTCTAGCATTTAATTCTTAGTCATTTTATGCTATCCGTCTCAAATGGAAAAACAACATATATATGTTGCCTGGAAGGAAGAAATTGAAATATTCTAAACATGTATTTATAAAAGTGGGGCTCCTCCGAGTAACTCTTTTATAATCAAATTTAAACGTGATGAATTTAAATTTATAGTCAGACTGACTTAATCAGTTTGTTGTCCCAAATATAAGAAAAACACACTTTTTGGTTGATAAAAGCTTGTTTAATTTTTCAATTGGGTCCTCACAAAACGAAACAGACCTATTTTATTTTACTCCCTAAGAAATAAAAATATTTTCATGTACCCCTTGCAATGCACTCACAGACCACTAAGAGTAGGAGTACCCCCAGTTGGGAATCACTGCTCTAAATCACAGCTAAACAAATATTATTTGCTTATCTTTTCTTGGTCACAAATTCCTAGACCATCTATTAAGGCAGATTACACTGAACAAATTATTTTAACAGTCTAAACGGCAAGAAAGTGTTTGGATCAAATCTCTTTTTGTGTAAGGTACTTTCATGTTCTCATATGAATGCACCAGTTTACTGTGGTACTCCGCTGATCTCCCTTACTTCATATTGGTCAAATGGATGTTCTGCACTGCTATTTGGTGTTATTTTGTGTGTGTGTGAAAGGTTGCCTTATTTGGTTGGCTGCCTTTTTTGTTGTGTACTGTATGTTACCTTTTCTCTCTAACTAGTGAAAATAAGCACCAACATTGGATTTTCTTGCTTTTACCATTGAAGTTGTTTTTTTTTCTCCTTTTTTCCACCATAAGCAATGAAAATATTTATAGGAACTTTGGTGCCTGTGTGTGGGTACCTAAAGATGCGGGGGAAGATAGATGATGCTGTCACAGTGCTGCTCAGCACTCTGAAGCTGCAGATGAAATGTTAAAAGCTTGGTAAAGGAGAGACGAACAGGAAGCAGGGAATAAGTTGAAAATTGAAGAGAGAATGTAGATGTGGTAAACACTGAGAGGGATAAAAACTAACATTGCAAAGAAGGTGTTCCTGCTGCTCAACAGCATTGATTTCTATCTCACTGTCTTTGAGAACGGTTAAAGCGACATTAGACCACCGTGATCAGGTCTTTGTGTTCCTCAGCTCAATTTCAGACCGTTCACCTTCCTAATTATCTCTTTGTTGTGTGTGTTTGTGTTGCATATTACATGGACATGTTTCTATAGTTTTATAATTCTGTCTATGTGTTTGCCCTATAGAAAAAAACATGTCAAAACAGACATTTGTGTAAACAATGCAAGTGAGCTTGTCACTTGAAGCACAGAAAGCAGAACTGGAAGGAAGTCATGTCAATGAGGCAACTGCTTCTATTTTTGGTTTATACCTCTGTGCACAGTTTTTACATACCTTCAGAAGTCTGATCATTCTTTTGTGTTTTCTGTACTAAAACCGCACATTAAATATACTCCCACTTCAGCTGGGGATGACTTACAGACAATGACTTCCATATGCAAATTAAGTCAGCTGCAAAAGTATTAGTGGTCTTTTATTCACCATTTCCCACCCACTCCTTTTCAATAACTGTATTAGATAAAATGCTTAAGAGACCACTTACACAATGAGCTCTGAAAGTTTTATCTTCTAGTTTGTTCTCAGCCAAATACTGATGTGGGGTTTTTGCATAAGATATACAAATAAAACATAAAGTATTAGCCTACTCTGTAGGGTTTCAGGTAAATAAAAATGTTTTAACAGCTTGCAGGTTGCAGGCTTTCTGCCAAGAAGAAGACGTTTCCCAGTTAGCTGTTTAAGATTTATTGACACATGAAATAGGTTGATTCGTTTTAGGAACTAAAGCTTAAGCAAAGATTAGGAAGGATGGTCAGAAACAGCTGTGTTTCCATATTGCTCTGCTTCATATTAATATATTCGATGCATTTGCATTTCATTCGGTGATAGCCTTCTGCTACGTTGTGCTCTCATTTTAAATACAGGGACATACACATGGTCAGACACTTGTACAGCTCTGCCTCACAGGAAGTGTTTGAGGCATCCAGTTGTCATTTATTCACAGAATGACATTGTCTGCTCACCATCTGTCTCAGATTCACACTATCTTTCTTTTTATTTAACTTAATTGCTACAAGTAAGTTTGGAGACATGTTTTTGCCTAATTTATGAATGTATCTGTAAAAAGAAAATAAAGTCAAATAAAGATGTGTATTTTTTTCTAAACTTGTTTAAAAAATACAGATGTGAACACCTCAATCGTATTGGTTGGAAGCCCTTGCAGGGTAATTAACCATGAACATAGTCTATTTAAACAGTTCTATGCCAGTCTAATTGGAAGATATGTTAAGCTGTGTGTCTATTAGAAATTACGAGAAATCCCATACACATTGTACCAAAGTAACGGAGGAAATGTGGGACTTAGGCTCTGATGTGCTTATTCTGTCAAGCTCACTGCATACAGAAAGACTTTACCAATAAATATATGGTATTGCTTCTCTATGTATTAGAAAATAGTTAACAAATAAATACAGGTCTAGTGTCGCAACCAAATTCCTATGCTCTTACACAGGCTAATTGTTCATTGCTCGCATTGTATTTTTTTCTAGTTCACATCATCACTTTTAACAAACTAATGTCCTGTCCTAAAAAAAACCCAACAAAGTACGGATTACTTCTATAGAAATGATCTGCATAGTTACGTCATAAATGAGGTATCTCATCAAATAACCCCTGGTAAATCATGCTATAGGGTCATTTAAAATTAAGATATTCTCCTACAGAAAGCCTGAACATGATTAAAATCACACTTATCTTACAGTTTGAGAAATTAATGTGATAAATAAATTAGCTGTTTAGACCACCAAAAAAACTTTATAATCCCCCTTTTTTAATGAAGTCCTTATTACCTTGTTGAAGTGATTATAATCACTACTGATAGGTCACGCAGCAATGATGCAATGAATTGAATTAAGCTGGATCTGGTGATGTTCATATGACTGCATTCAAAGTGTATTTAGAGCAGTTGTGATCAGTCTAGCACTATTCTTTTTTGTGATGTAAAATGTTGATTTTTTTTTTTTTTTTTTAAACAAAGTATTATTATTCTTGCATGAAAAATCTTAGACCCAATGCAGGGAGATTTTGTTTAATACCATGTTTCAAATACTGTGTTTTAGTTCATTCATATCATCAACAATCAGTCATTTATAATTTCTTTGATATAGTGAATGCTTATTGCCTTTTTTCTTTAAAGCGCACAGCTGTACCTCAAAGTTTGCACTTTTAATCATAAATGGTCCATGCAATGCAGTGTGAATGTCACTGCGTATTTAAATGAGCCAGTTGATCAATGGTATTTAATGGTTAGTATGGCAACCGCAGCCAGGAGAGGGAAAAAAATCAAATAAAATAGCAGTTTAACCAAGGCGGCAATAGATTGATGGCATTGATGAGTAAGGAGTTGAGTCAAATAAATATGTTTTGTAGCAACATTAGATTAAAAGAATATCAATCATTACACCTTCAGTGTCTGACGTATGGACTGATCATATTAACAAGGACATGTAGACCCTCTTTTGACATATGCACAGTGCTGCTCTTTTAACCTTCAATGATAAAAAGGGATTGTTGGGTCCAAGAGCAATAATCTAGGGAGTAAAATCTGCTCAGTCAGCATAGCATTACTACAGTATTTAAAAACTTGCAGCAACCCATGTCACTCCCTCGCATGTTGTTACATTAATACATTCCTCACCCTGTTGATTATCAGCTAGAGCAATGCAATGGAGAGGAAACATTTAAATTTGTTTGAACGTTTGATTTGAAATGTAAGCTGCATATGAACTTATTTTTTTTTGCATGACAGTCAATCTAAAATTAAGTTTCCAATAAAGTGAAGGAAAATGTCTGAGATGAATTATGACGATCTGGCCTCAGTTCAAAATCTGCATACCCATAATGGATAAACTGGTGTTGCCATGAGGGAGCGCACATTGTCACCCCAATTTTGTTTTTTATAGATAACTACATTTGTGTGGACACTGGCATACTCAAAGTTTCAGGCCCCGTTTTCTTGCATAAGCAATCTTTATAAATGACGATTTGATTACAGGGAAGCCAGTTTAGCACCCAACATTATTTCAATACATAGCCGAGCTGTTGTAACGTGTAAAGTGCGTCCTGGCATGGTTGGGCTGAAATGAGCAGGAATGTTCCTGAAAAACACATGGCTTGAATGTCACACCTATATCATCACAGATGTTGGCATTTGAACTTTTTGCTGATAACAATACCGATATATCTTTTACCTTTTTTTTTCAGAACACAATGTCAATGATGACAAAAAAACTATTTGAAATTGTCACAGCACACTTTTCCCCTTTGCATTAGTCAATTTCAGATTAGCTGGAGACCAGGGAAATTAGTGTGACCCTTTCTATATGAGTTTAGCTTTGGATAGTAGTTTAAAATGGTTTTCTGAAGTGATCCTTAGCCCACATTATCTGACCAACTGAACAGATCTGGTACCTACTCCGGCTTAACCGTCATAATGTCGGCCAGTTAGTCGGTCATTACCTGTTAATTGAAAAAGTTATTTAAGGATGTTTTTTGGGGCAGGAATGTAGACCTCAACACTTATTCTTCATAGTCAAACAATCAATATTATGATTGTACTTTCAAATGTGTTTTTAGAATGGCAGAGTCCTTCTGATAGACCAGTCTGGATGTTAGTTACCGTAAGCTAACCCAGAGGTAGTAGCAGTGGGAATTCAAACAGAGAATTGTCAACCCCAGCCAGGGACTTGGGGATTTCCTGCTGTATGTATTAGCTGAAGTTACTGAAGCTGAATAGAACCCACTTATGATGTATGTGGTTAAAAACTGCCAGTGCCACAATATAAAATGTAATGTTTGTCCTCAAAGTTTAACTGTGTAGGTCAATGAAGACACTAATTGTAATCTGTTTCGCCACACTTTAAAGAAAACATATTTTGGAGTATTTATTTGACCATACTTTTTCTTTCTTTATAGCAACAAGAAATATCATTTTTTTCATAGACTTATTTTTTTTTATGCAAAGCTAATTTAGTAGGGTATAACCATTTGTATACATATGTAAATAAATTATTCAATCTTATTTTTCATCATTCAGTGCAGACAGGGCTTTGAGAGAGATCAAAAGTTTGATGCTGTCTGTATGCTTGTCTGGATAGATTCCTCCAGTCGCCCAACCTTACTTAACATAGACTTGTCTGTGCAAAGTGCCATTTCCAAAGTATACTTGTTTGCCCATTAGCATTCAAGGCGGGTGAAAACGATTTGACCTTCTCTTGGTATTGTGGATCCGTGGATCTGAAGTTTTAATTGAGTTCTCTCTCTCTTCAATACAGTTTTTTAGTAACCTAATTTGACTCACAAAAACAGCTGCGATCTTTATTATGCTAGTATGACAGATTTGACTCTTTGTTCTCAAACAATGTCTAATCTGTTAAATTTCATCTCAAGAGAATAAAATGAAACTCTTGTGACAAAATTTTAATGAATCTTTTGTTCATCCTCTTTCTTTTGTTGGCATGTTGTTTTAGCAGAGGTTTGCAGCGTAAATGGATATCACTACAGTACTTTGATTAGATTTAAGGCTTAACTCTAAAATGTCTTTTGCATTTTACTTATGCTGGTTTACTGTATAACTAGCCAACATGTATGTCTAAAGATCTGCTATGTGACTCTCAAAACAAATGCAAGTACGCTCTGCTTTTCCATTCATCTTGATTAAATAAGACAGGATCCCACTTTTTTTTCTTTTGTGCTGTTCAAGTGAATTGACAAGATTATGCAACATGGTTAGGAAAGTATTTAGAGATTCTGGCTATGAGCTTTTATGATTACTTGAAGTCATTTGGATGTCAGATAACTCCTCTTTAACCTATAAAGCACAAAGTTTCTTTAAAAACTTTTATGCTGGATGTTCTGAAGTGCATTATTTTACTAATAAATACGGCTTACTGCATTTTGTAAAATGTAATTCATGAAATATTAATTTAATTGCATCCAAATTTCATGTTTCTAAAACAGGAAAATAAGCTTTATATTAATTACATTAAGGTGAGCAGATTTCTGAACTCTGATTAGCTCGTAGATGAACAAAAATCCATCTCATTAACATTAAATTTAGGAAGCTTAGACAGTATTGGTTTCCTTTCTTTTTACATATTTATCATTATTTAAATGACAAACATCAAGTGTAGAGGCCAGGAATATCTCACCACACGTACTGTCATAAAAATCCACAATTTATAAAAATGAATAAATCTATAGCGTTAGAGAACTAGAACTGTTGCTCTGGGTTGGGGGAAACGGGTAGGGGTGGAGGTGTCAAGGCTTGGTATCTGGGTTTTCTAATCTTCTGGGGCCTAAAGAGAAGAATGAAATTAGGAAAATAAAAAATAGAAAAGTAAATCCAAACATTTGTCCAACATTTAGCGTATGCCTATGGCTGTGGAGTTCCCCAGCTCTTCAAAAAATTGCAACAAATACCCATCCTGTTCACATCTACATACCTATGAGAAGTAGGTTTTTCTGCATTAGAATGGATCAAAACACAGATAGTGGTCATAGCCTGCAGGTAAAGGGTTATCCATGTTTACTACTGTCAACTGACAGCATCAGGGGGGGCCTATGCATCTCAAAGAAGCAGATTAATTTCTCCTACTACTTGGCTCTATGCACAGCTCCACTACTTCCTGAACTTTGTTCCTTTGTTCCCTATCTTTCATTACTGTCTAGCTGATTAATCCAAGTCTGGATGGTTACTGATTTGTTTTCTTTCTAGCCTTCTTTTGACTTCTGCCTGCTCTCTGTTTTACTCTTCTAAATAGATTTTTCTCCCCTCTCTTCTACTTTTCTTTCCATCAGTGTTAATATTTTCCTGCACTCTCATTCAATCTTCTATCTTCTTCTTCTCCCTCTTCTATCAATCTTACACTTTTCTAAAACACACACTATGTAATCACAATCCTTTCTAAATTTGATTGTGAAAACTTAAAATGTAATAGTTAAAATGAAATATTTTTTCACACACCTATGGAAAGTTGGTTATTCTAAGATGAGATGCTGGAATTATTCTGGACTTATACATAGTTGTAACCACCTGTGAAAACTTCCGCTTCCTCTGCTTCAAAAGTGACTTGCTCTGTTCCAAATCCTCTGTACATTAACAACAATGCAACTAGATACTGTAATAGCTGTTTCTGCGCCCAACATCCTCATGCGTTCTTTCTACCATAATAACTGTCTACATGCAGCATTTTCCCCCTCATTAATAAAACAATGAAATTAGTGATATTTTCAGGTGACTAGTCGGGGACAGGTGGTCCAAAACAGGATGTCCTCGGAAATCAGGGATGTCTGGTCTCTGTAATTCAAATGCACTAAGACCCAGACAAATTCTTCCATAGCATCACTAACCTGTACTTCAGACTAATGGGTGGTAATCATTCCATTGAGAAAAATTATGTGCTTTTAAAAAAACAAAACAAATATTTTTTCGAATATCTCAAATATATTTAATATTGTTTCTATCTTTAAATATTTAAATCTCTCTGTAAGTATTAGATTGTGAAGGAAATGTATTAGTCCAATTAAAAATATTGTTTATGTTTATAAAAATCATTTAAATTAAAAAGAAAAGGCAACATCATGCCATGTGTGTAAGACACAAGGTATTGTAAAGTAGGGCTTTAATGTTATTCAGAAGAAAAAGACAAAATGATTAGAGGAATCTAGTAAAATGTATTTAACCTCTTGAATTAACATATAGCATGGTTAGCTTTTCCTTACATTAAACAGCAGCCTCTGCATTTTCTTGGGAATGTAGACCTTTAACACAGAGAGGAGTCAGAAGGCTGCCATCATTTTCAAATCATGCATTTGCGAGGGGCTGAAAGCTCAGCAGGACAAATAAAATGACTTTTTAATCTCTTGCTGCAGTATTTTCTGCCTTCCTGTCATCTGTCTAAATCTGGCTTTTTGCTATGGCAACGTTAATAGGCTACAGACAAATTTCCGTAGAAATTTGCAATTTCCCATAGAGCAGAGCCGAACATCTTTGGTGCTTTAACTGACTTGAGTTGTAACTGCCTCACTGATACTGAAAATAGCTACCTTAAAAACAGTATTAGGTGTGCATCTTGGCTGTGAAATTCATGCTCCTTCAGGTTTTAGAATGAAGTGGCTTTATTTCCCCCTCTCCCTCTTTTGGATTTAAGCAGCGCTCAGGGAGGCATAGACTGAGAAGTTGCATTTAGTAAGTGTTTATCCCAACTCCAGAGTCTGTATTTTGTTCCCATTTATGTTTGTTTTTCTTTCTTCCCTCAGATTAGTCTTAATACCAGCTTTTCTCTCTCTTTGACCTGTCTATTTGTCTTATCTTTCTTACATGTGCTACAGAAATGTAAGCTCAGCAGGAGAGGAGGCCCGACGCAGAATGAGGGAGTGTGACGGACTTACAGATGCTCTGCTCTACGTTATCCAGACCTCTTTGGGCAGTAGTGAGATCGACAGCAAGGTATTTATTGGGTTTACTCTTTAAGCATAAAGTCTGTTATTCATTCTGAAACAATCAATTATGCCTGGAAGCAAAGAGCCTCTACACTCCCTTGTCACACCAGACAGTTGTCAAATCTATGAAGTAACCTAGGAATACAAAAAAAAAACAGATGAATGTCTTCAAAGATGAGAAATATTTTTGTTCTCAGAAAATATTATGTTCATTAAGCCAAGTTACAGCTTTTAAAACTAAAGTATTGGAGCATTTCCTGCATCCAATTAAACTGGCAGACAAAGTTGAGAGGATTTATGTTCACTCTGCATTTTTCTTTGTGGGAACACATTTATGTTGGTGTGCAGTGTACATAAGATGCTGTGTGGGGGCCAGTCAATATTACATAAATAGTGTTGTGGATGGCTGACTTCTCAAGGTCTCCCTGTCTTCTAGCCTTTTCTAAATGGCCATCCTTAATCACTGTTTAACCATCCTTCCCTCGCCACTGTTTGACTGCAGTCGCCAGAGGACTGTTGTTGCCTCAGTAACAAAGACCGATTGGCAGATAAACCATCTAATGGTTGCTGCTGCACCAAACAGGGACATTACCTACATGTGCTCAGTTTGCCTTCACTTCCATATATTCTTTTGTTTTTTTTGTTTTTTTGTTTTTCTCATCTTATTCTGTATCATACCATCTGCCAATAAGTCTGTTGTAGCATTTAGCGTGCTAAGTAATTAAAGAAGTGTTTAAATCTTGCAGAAATTTCTATTAAATCTGAGCAAGGATCATGTCATGTATTTCATTTACCTGAATTTGTATATTTTTTCAGTTCAGGTTTTATTTCTAGACTTACAGAAAAAGTAGCACTGCATTGCAGTGCTAAATTATTATATTGAAACATTTCTGCAGAGCAGAAAGGTTATTTAATTAGCCCTTTGAAACCATAGTTATATACCGTAAATTCTCTAATATTGGCCTGTATTCCAATAGCGGCCGGGTCTCTAATAATGGCCGGTCTCGCTGTCAGAGGAGGTAAATAATGGCCGGTCTCTAATACAGGCCGGGGCTATAAACGTTTTTTCTGGGCATACCTCAACATTATACTTGTGGTAGTAAGTAACATACAAGTACCACAGCCCTGCGCAGCTGAACGACAAGCCCTGCTGCTGCCCGTCTGCGCGAGGAAGAGAACAGACACGCAGCAGAACAGGAGGAGCAGCGCGAGTGATGAGGAGAATAAAGGGAGAGATGAAGAGGAGGAGGAAACTGAGGAGGAGAATTAAACAGAATTGGAGGATTTTTATATTTTTTTTTTTTACTTCAAACCAAGCGAGACATGGTAACTGTACTTTTTCAATAAATGAACCTAGTGTTTTATAGGTTCAAATAGACACAAAATCTCATTTTTATTCATTCCACTGGTAGTCTGTTTTGCTCAAATAGCAATAGAGGCCTGTCTCTAATACTGGCCTCTATCCAATAAAGGCCTGGACCGCGATGCACTTGAGTGAAATAAAGGCCCGGGCCTATATTAGAGGATTTACGGTATGCTAATTATCAAATCATCAATCAAAAGAAGCATTTTCTTTATTTGAAATATTCATTGTCTGTATAAACTTTCTTCATTATTTCTTTTTGTGAGTGTCCTAACAATATATCATTTGTCACCATTAAGACCTTGATTTTTCTCACTCACTTACTTTTTTTTGTTTTCTTTTATATTTAAGATATTAATCTTTAGACTGCATTCTATGTTTGTTTGGAGATACCCTGAGTAAATTTAATTAGTAATGAGGATTTGTTCTTGCTTCGGGGATGTCAATCTTTGTGTCAAATAAATGGTAAATGGACTGTAGTTGTACAGCGCTGTTTTTAACTCAGGAGACTCGACCAAAGCACTTTACACTACATTCAGTCATTCACCCAATAACCCATACACTGATGGTGGCAAGCTGAATTGTAGCCAGCTGCCCTTGGGCTCACTGACAGCAGCCTGTCGTACACAGGCGCGCTCTGACTACCCTTAGTTGGAATATGGGTGAAGCGTCTTGCCCAAGGACACGGCGACAGTAAAAGCCAGAGCCGGAATCAGCAACCCTTCAGTTGCTGGGCAAATGTCTCCATACAACGCCACTATCGCCTCAATCAAATACCAAAAGTGTCAGTCAAAAAGCTGACCTTCTCTTACGAATTATTGAACTCATGTCTTTTACTTAAACATTAATACTCAGCAGTTAAAAACATAAAAGTTTATATCCGTTTTAAATTACTGACAGTGATATCTTATTAACTTGTTTTTCCATCTAGAAAACCTTTTTGGTCAATTGAAAATACTCATTTGTTCCTCATATAGAAACATTTGAAATGCTGCTGGATAACACAGTATAGATCCACCAATCACCTATTCTGACAATTGTCTGTAAAATATATTCCTTAATTTTCTATTCATTTTTACATGAAATGTCAGGAAACTAAGTGATACATACAAATAAATCAAATAAAACTTGTCAATGATTAACATCTTGTCCAAAAAGGCTTAGAAGACAGTGAATAACTGCCTGGTTCTGCTGGAGGTTTCTTCCTGTTTCCTCTCCACTGTCGCTACAAGCATACTTAGTGTGAGGGATTGAATTTGAGTCAATGAGTCGATGCAATCAACTGGTTTTCCTCAGATAGAAAACTTTGAATCAATTTGACTGTATGATCTGGTTGAACTGTAAAGTGCCTTCAGATGACTTGTGTTGTGAATTGTGGCTATAGAAATAAACTGAATTGAAATTGAATTAAATAATTATCAAATATTTTATAGAAATGCCTTTTTTGGAGGGGGGAGGGATACTGACACTTTAAGATGTCTCTTGAATTAAAACAAATCATAAGCATTGGTGGGGTGTGAGTTTGAGGCACTCTTCCTTTATATCTATGGATTCGTTTGACCAAAATACATTGTTTCCGTATTTCCCAATCTTGTGCAGCAAATTTTAAAGAAGCTACCGAATGCTGCAAATTGAGTCTTGTTATTGCATGTCTGGAGAGATGCAATAGAAAAGACAGAAATGTAAACAAGTATTAAACTTTGTTTTAGAGAATAATCAATCAATGTTACTCATGGTGGATATGTTGGTCAGGATCTAACCTTGGTTCAGAGCCTCCTGTGCTTGCCACTGAAAACCTCTGTTAATATAGGACCATCACCAAGCTTTTTTTTTACCAGTATAATAAAGGACTTCAGAATAGATGTGAAACAACAGATCGAAATATGAAATGTCACAGTAAATTGTAAATTAAACATAACTTCTTCAACATCATTTTGTAATAGACTGTGAATAGAATTTCAGACATGACTGCAGCTCACTGGAGTGAGACATTGTTTTTCTTTGTTGCATCTCTTGAGGCTGTTCAATTACGCTCCTTAGTCGTCTTTGTGTAAACCAACGGTCAGGCTGCAGGAAGATTGATGATTTGTCTTTGATAATTTCCACTCTGTTGATTCGATGACTCCCCTTTCTCAATGATACGCAAACACATGAGCCTAAACAAAGTCTCAGACGTACACATTGAAGAATAGACAACAAATGTTGTAAGACATGGTTTTTTCATGTGCAGAGACACACTTGCTCACAAGCTCTGTGACTTTAGGGTTTGCCTCTGAACTGAGAGTTAAATGAGGTGTGACATAATATATTGGGTTTGTCATTTTTCCTCATTTGCTTGAGTTTCCTTCTAATCTTATTTCAAAGTCAGAGCTAACAAAATGCAGAAACATATTACCTGAGAGATTATGAATGTTCTTTTGCTTCCTAAATCTGTTTATCCTGGCTGATGCCAAAGGGTTTATATTATATATGGGTGTTTTTTCTATCTTTCTCTTTTTCTTTCAAGTGATGCCTTGTATTTGAACTTCTTTTTTGTTTTCAAACAGATCTTTCATTTTGACTTTTCCACTTAAACCATTTATCTTTTCTTCATATCATCTTCCTTTCTTCCTTCACCCCTTGCCATCTCTCTTCCCTCCCCACGTCCTTCCCTGCATTTGTTTTATCTCCAGACTGTAGAGAACTGTGTTTGTATTCTGAGAAATCTGTCATACAGACTGGCTGCTGAGACATCCCATGGCCAGCAAGGTGGTCTTGAAGAGCTGGATGGGCTGCTTTGTGATGCAAATGGTTGTGAAGGAGAGAGCTCTGGCTGCTGGGGAAAGAAGAAAAAGAAAAAGAAGGGAGCTGACCAGGTAAGGGCAAAAACAAGGATAAAGTGATTTGTGAAAAAAAAAAAGAGTATAACAGTTCTGTTCCAAGACATTGATGCACTATAACCTTTTTCTATTCATGTGAATATAAAGAAACCAATTTTTTGCCACATTAAGGAGTTTTTAAGCTCCAATCTTCATGAAGGGTGATTCCACTTCATGTTGCAGTGGAGAAATAATAAAATATTTGTTTAATCTTGGCTCAATGTTTACTACAAGCAGATGAGGTTTTGATATTTTGATCATAAGATTGATCCATTTAGTGCGTCTTCAGGAAAAATTTAGGTATTTTGTAATGTTCAATTTTTCTTTTTAATAATATGGAACACTAAGCAAAATAGTATGCTTATTTAAATGTTTAAAATTATTTGTTAAATATATTGGTATTTGGTGGGTCGAACAATATTTTTAGCATGTGTTTTAAAACATTTGGAAGTCTATTGTGATTATCTAATTTAGTTTAAAGTTTATGTTACCTCCATTTCTCGATCATGTCGCTTCACACTACTAAACATAAGAAAGATCCGGCCATACCTACAGTAACTCAACATGCTACCCTGGTGCAGTCTATGGTTATCTCCCGTCTTTACTGTTGTAACGTACTCCTGACTGGTCTCCTGTATGATAAAACTGCTACAAATGATCCAGAACATGGCGGTACATTCAACCAGCCCAAAAAGTCTCACATCCCCCCTCTGTTCATTGAGCTTCACTGGTTACCCCTTGCTGCCTGCGTCAAATTCAAATTCCTGATGCTAGCCTACAAAGTGCTTAAGGGTCTAGTGCTTAAGGCCATCTAGTTGAACCCTCTTGCAACGGCTTACGTCATAACTCGGTCACTCCGGTCATCAATGGGCTGTCGTCTAGCAGTGCCTACACCACAATTAAGGCAATCCAGATTGTTTTCATATGTTGTTTCAAGATGGTGGAATGACCTACCTAACACCCTGTCTATCTTCAGGAAACTCCTTAAGACCGACCTGTTCAAAGAGCATCTCCTATTCTTACTCTTACCCATAGCTCTGTACCCCTCTACTACTCTTTCTGTACTTCCCTCTATGTCTTTGCTGTCACCACTGATTCTGACTAGGCATTTTCCTCTAGACAACTTATTGTTGTGCATAAAATAAATGAACAGCTTTAGTTCTGCTTAGTTATCTTTAGATGTATTGGCTTAACAGTGATCTTAAAATACCATCTCTTTCTTTGTTGCAGAGCACAGCAAAACATCGCTAACACTAGTGTTGCGCCGATGCCATTTTTTGGCCCCAATACCGATACCCGATACCTGGCTGTGTAGTATCGGCCGATACCATAATAATGTAAAATAATTGCCATCATGGCTTTGTCAAGCTGCTGCCTACCTTTGTGAAGCAGGAAAAAATCTAATACAAAGTGAATCCAGTAGAACTTTTTATTGCCTACCAGGAGTGGGTGACAATAGTTGAAGAAACTTATGGCTCTCAAAATGGTATCGGTGCCCTATTTGTTGGTACTCACCGATACCGATACTACCATTTTAGGGAAGTATCGGGGCCCCGTCCGATACTGGTATCGGTATCGGTGCAACACTAGCTAACACCACATTAATTTTAGAATTTATCTGAAGACTGCAAAAAAATGTTAATCTAAGTTAGTAATTATTTCTTAATATAAGTGGATTTTTCTTAAATTGAGCAGGTAAGTGGGACAAAATAATGGAATAAGACCATTTACATTTAAAATAAGAAAAAGCAAATGCAGTTTCTTATTTCAAGTGCATAATATCTAAATTATTTTAAGGGTAAAAATGCTCATTCCATTGGCAGATCATTTTATTTTTCTGCTTAGATTAAGGGTGAATACACTTATTTTGAGACATTTTTACTCATTTACAGAATGTTTTTGCAGTGAAAGTAGTTGCATGACCTTACAATTTTTTTTTTTTTTTTGCTGTGACCTATACCTCACCCTTTCTGTTTTAGAAGCAGGTGAAAAAAGAAGATTTTATAAAAAACCCACGATAACCAACTTAAAAAATATCCTTTTGACTCTAAGGCACGGCTCTGAGGAACTGGATTCATATTAAACATACTTCATGGGTAGAAAAAATATATATTTTCAGATCCTTACCTCTTGAAGTCCTGTATGAATGGCTCATCTTTTGAAATGCTTGTTCTGAAATCTTCTTAAGAGACACTACCTTTCCATCGTAGGTCTAGTCTGACTAATCTGATTAAGCCTTTTCTCCTTCAGAAAAAGCACCTCAGCAGAGAACACTGTTAAGACTCAGATCGTTTTTTTTAATATCATACATTGGTCTGTGTAGTTAATTTGTGGTTTTACTAGAAGAAGGCTTAAGTTCCTCAAAAGACTTCCGTAAAAATTCAAAAAATATCCACTGGACTTGGTTTTCAAGATTTGAAGACGTAATATAAATAAAAGACATAATATAAATAAAATATACAATATATGATCTTGATACATAGAATAATAAGTATGCCATGTATAAAGTGAACTTTTTAGAATAAAGCAGGAACATGTTCTGATTGGCTAAAGGAGCTTGCAACCAGGGTATAAGATAGATATTTTTAAAATATATGTGTGCATGAAGAGCACACAGTGATACGCAGGTAACTTTAAAAGACCTGTTGCAGTAATTTTATATTTACCTTTTATAGTAACAATTTGATTCTGTTTCAATTTTTTGTCCATAATAAATTCAAAGCCAGTTTTCTGTAGTTAGAGTTGTTAAATTTTACAGTATTAAATATTTTGAGTTTAAAATTCACATATATTTTATCATATTTTTCCATTTGATCTCTTCACTGTCTCTGTCCACATCAGGAGTTCGCAACCTGCAGCTCTGGAGTCATCAGGCCTTTGTTATCTCTGCCATGGCTCTTGATAATGGCCTAAAATTATATAATTATATTAATATAATTACGAATACCAGCATTTTAGACTTTATTGGGTTATTTAAACAATTTATGTTAGAGCTTTCCAAACAAAATCACCTTAAAATAACCAAAAATATGTTTTTAGATCTATTTTTCTTGTCATTAGCTGGAAATTCATGCTTCATCTTTATGAAACTTTTATTTTTTTTCTTGTCTTGAAATGTAAAAATACAAATAAACATTTAATTGCTTAAGATGGTGATAGATTTCCTATATCAGTTATAAAAAAAAAAGTTTTGTTTTATAAAGGGTTATATAATGTTTGAAGCTATAAAAGATTTTTACTCAGCAGGACTTGGGGCAGAATGGTTCTTTGGATTTCAAAGGCTGCACACCCGCTTGGTCTACTTGGATAATTTACTCTTTTGTTGTTCTGGACACCAACATCAGGCATATTTTTTATGTTCTTTTTTTGAGGTCAATTTTTTATTATTATTTCCAATTTATGACTTAAAATATTTGAGACCTAAAATATATCAAATTTGCCTCTTATCCTCTATACTGTTAGAGAATTGAAATATACTTAATTTCAATATTACGGATCAATTGAAACATTCTACAAGTTTCTATGCACCAAAATTATATACCCTGTTTAACTTTCTTCATATTTCTCAGGTTATATAAAAACAAACAATAAAAAAGGTAAACAAAAAGACAAATACCAGAGACTTGTTTTAAACTGGCTTACAGTAGATTTTTAATCAGGCTTAGTTTGCCAATTCTGGTTTATTTTGTTGTCTTTTAGGTTTCCTGAATTGGGCTTGCTCTGAGTCTGACTCTGTTACTATGGCAATTGACCCAGTGAATTTAGCCAGGTTGAGACCAGGTTTAGAGCCAACTAAGGCTCAATCCAATTGGTAAGAGCACTTAAGCCACAGCTGAAGTGCGTCAGCAGCCACCATAGCAAGTTCTAGCTCTCAATAGGGCTGACAAAAAGGACAGAGCTTGGAAGAGGAAGCAGGGGGCTTCCTGACACCAGTTCAGTTACCATGGGGACCTTGTGATTTCCCTAGCCACTGCAAGAAGCTAAAGAGTTGCCCACAATCCTTTTTCTTTCATGGCTTGTAGGCACAGCCAACGTAAAGGAGTTAAACAAAAATAAATTATTTCTTTATGCTATTTGACACATGCTAATGTACAAACCTTCATGTTTTGGGTTTTATAACAATAGTTTTAGCCATTCGCTAAAATTGTCCATTTTCTTGTAATTCTTTTTCATAAGTAAATATCATTTTTGCACTTGTCTTTTACATATTAAGGTCCATACGGCTAAAGACTTAGTAGCATAGTATCCTGTTTCTTCAGGGATATAAAAATAAAAATCCCCTGGTAGTTAATTGCATAAATGTTAACCAGTGGTTCATTTACTAAGCTTCCTTAAATGGACCGCAGCTTGAATCAGGCCCTAACTCAGGGGTCTGCAACCTTTCAAATCCAAAGAGTCATTTTACCCCTAGCCATGCTAAATTAAAGCCACAAAAAATTACATCATCCTAAACATCACTATTAGTTTTGTTCTGCTATAGTATATTTGTTAAACGTTTTAATCAACACCAGTTTGTGTTTTTTAGTCTTTAGTCTTTTTAGTGTTGAGTTTTGGATTCATTTTCTATAGGGTATTTTGTAATAAATAATAAAATAAACACACAGTCTCCAAGCTATTGTCAAGAAATGTTTCTGCTTCTCTAAAGTCATTCTGTTAAGAAAATTCCTTTCAAATATTCTTTTAAAAGACACTAAAGCTTCCAAGGTTGTATAGACCTGCACTAACTGTTCAAACTCTCTCTATAGGCCTTCACATTTTTGCCAGCAGGGTAAAGTCAAGTGGAGGTGGACCTCTCTAGTCTTTCCTACATTTTTTTTTGTTTTGTTTAGCCATTGGGAAGGGAGCCAAATGCCGACTGTTAGCGGGTGTTTGCAAAACCCGGTGTTAACCCACTCATTTCAGTGGGAAAGAGGCTTAAATAAACCTTGTGGTCTGCTGCACAATCTGCTTATTTTAGTGACAACACTGGTTTGTTGAAACTTTCTTGACTTAGAGAC